AAACCCAAAACCTTTCATATGGTTTTCATTTTGATTAAGTGTTTTTTGCCTTTATTCAGTCAAAGACATTCTAAGTGTTGACTTATTTGACATTGAAGGACTCAATATGACTTCGCTATATCACACGTGATCTGTGAAACAGCAAAGAAGTGGCCACTCCATTTTGCAGAGAAAACACGCTCTGACAAAACAGAATAATTTACCTCTTCCGTTTTGTGTTTAAGCTTTGCAAGGCATTTTCTGACCATTTTTCCTGATGAAAACTAAAGATTTTTTAAAAATGTACTTCATTTAACCTATTTACACCCCATCTAAAATTGTGAGTTTGAAAATACTTTTCCACTATCACATATATTACAGAATATTTAAACTGTTACAAGTATAGTAAAATACTTTCAATGTATTTTGATTTCTAAAGATGCAGTATCCTTATAGTTACATTTTTGTACTAAAACCTGATTTACTGTGGAAATTGATCAGAATTTAAGCATTTTTAAGGTACCAATGGGCTTGACTTCATAAGCATACATTACACGGCAACTGTTACGCTACAGCGGAACCGTGAAAATATAACAATCTTTAAATTTCTTTGTGCACTTCTCCAGTTATACATCACAGGCAAAGGCATAATACAAATAACATGAGCTGGTTTCTTAAGAAGGTAATATTTTCTTTTACAGTGTTTATTTCCAATTCTTCCTTTTCTGATTTTTTTTTTAAACAAACTTGTTTATTACCTGCACATGGGTGGAAGCATGTGGAAGTGCTGGGGTTTATATGCACGGGTCTATGGATGAGCATGCTGGAGCAGGGCAGATTTACTGAACGATCTTTAGACTTTGTCTGCTGTAGAAGATGCAGTTTCACACACTGACCTTTCCAAACCAAAGTTCAAACTAAAAAATAAGCGGGATGTTAATGGTGAAACTTACTCTGATTTTGAGGTACCCACCTTCAATAAAGGAGAAAGAGAATTTTTCCATTAAACAGCATTTATTATCAGAAGATAAATTTATAAATGGCAACTAGAATACATTTTCAATGTGGCTAATGGAAAATGAGACTTATGATCACTGTTATTCCCATTATTAGAGGGGAGATGTGAGTTTACCCCAAACATCAACATCACTGATGTCATTTTTAACACTGTTAATTTTGTTATACATTACTCCAGCAAATAATCATATATACAAGTCAGTCTAAATCTATTTAATTAATTGTGTAAGCATGATAGAGAATAAGGAATACTGCATCTTCATCCCCAAGTATAAACCGCTGTTGCAATGAGCCAATTTTACAGTGCTGAATAAAACAGGTGCTCAAAAAATAATGACAATTTAAAATTTAAAAAGTTCTGTATCAAAGCTGCTTGTTTGTTACATTTTCCTATAATGCTGGCTACTGAGATTTCCTGACAAATCCATTGGATCCTTTTGGAAACATCTGAAATCTGACACTATGTGGCATAGTTTCCTTTGTAAGCTGTAATGGGCATGGTGGATATTACCCATTCTTTACTCACATTTAAAAGCATAAATTTCTGTCTTTCCAAAAGAATGGGATGCTGTATATTTGTCTCTCCCAACTGCTCATGGACCTGCTGTGTTGCGTCAAGACGAGATCTGGTATTTCTGCATGCTACATACAATGTGAGCCTTCACCACGGTTAGGAAATGTCACAGACCTGCGGTGGGATACCAGGATTTTTGAGGAAACTACCCTGGAGCAATCGCCCTTGGTCTTTGCACAAGCACAGAAATTTGACGGGCCTGAACCACAGCCACTGATGGAAAGACACCCTGAGAAATCTGGGGGACAGCAGCTCCACATCCAAACACCCTCCTCCCACAGAGTAACTTCTCTTAGAATAGTTCTGAAGGGGAAAGCAAACCAGAAAACAACCTCACAGGGTGTTTGGGGCCAACGCCTGCGGGCGCTGGTACAAATGAGAAACTTGCCAAGAACCACACTGGGTACTTGGAACCCAGTGGTGGACTGCTGCTGGTTGTGTAAGTTGTCTAGAGGTAACAGCAGCACGAAAAGCCCTTACACGTGTGCTGGGGAGGTTGAGGATATACTGCCTGCCCGCGAAATAACAGAATTTAGCATACACTCCTTTACCTTTTGGCTTCATTCTGTTACCATTGACACACTCTGTGCCCCTGTCCCTTGGCATGAGTGCTGCTTTATCCCTGTATCACTTTGGGGTTCCTTGAACAAAACCAGACCCTCTTTCTGTTGCAGTGTTTCCTATGCATAAAGTAATGGGCAACCAGCTGAAAGACAAGGGATTCACGCAGACCAACCTCGGCCTTGGGAGATGAGCCTCCCCAGGGCCTGTAATACATATGTTCCTCCTCGGGGCAGTTCAGAGCTGAATGCTGAAATTTAAGGCCTCTCCATTTCTCTTGGAGGCGTTTTTCTCTCTTCACTGACTACAGAGGAAGCCCAAAGAGGACACTGGTCCCTCCCAGTTACACCCTGCCTTTGTGAATAACATCAGAGATGATCTTTCTCACTCCTCCTCTTGTATGCTAACAGAATGGCCTTAGGAGCTTCTGGTGAAATAAACTTCATTTTCTATGGGAGGAAAAAAATCACAGATTCTGAAAGGAATTCTGTATGCCATCGGTTCTTCAACTGAATTACTGCTATTCAAGTAATTAGTCAGTAAAATGTTCTTGGGCAGGAAAAGTTTTATCAACTGACTTCCACCTGACCCGACTTCTTTCCCTAAACGCTAAGAATGACAGATCCATTTAAGGGGACGACTTTGAACTACATAAAAGACAGACCTCAGACATAATCCATGGACCTCAGACATAATCCATGAACCATCTCACACACAACACTGACCACCAGTTTTTTAAACCAATAGCAAAAATGCTGCTGGTAAAGACCCAGTTCTGCTGCCCCAAAATACCTCATGGCCTGTCCAGAAGCCCTGATCTGTCGCAGCCTTTCCATGCTTTGCATGGACACTTAGCGCCTCTGCTTCATTCCTGATTTGGAGCCGGATACTAAAACGTTCCTGAATTTTGTGGAAGTTGATTACTAACACGGTCAATGGGAATTGACAGAGGCATTTTTCCCACAATAGCTGCGAATAATTTGTCTTGGGTTTCTCTGCTGACCACTCGGCAGAGGAGAGCCTGAGCTTCAACAGTATTGAAGTTATTCTTTCAGAGAGCTGATAACTATCCAGTACTGGGGAATATTAAGAACATATTTAAAGACAATCAAACTCTGGGGCCTGTGAACGCTGTTATAAAGTATTATCCCAGTCATATTAATCTTCAGTTAACTGTAATTGCTTTCAGTATTTCTATGGGCACTCCGTGCTGTTTTTTCTTTAAGATTACCTCAATTTCAGAATCCCCCCAACATCACTACGGTTACTTCAGGAATCAGAAATTAATTCAGACTGGTAAAACCTTTAAAAATGAACAAGTGGCACCACAAGTTTAATCCGTGCAATTCCTGGGACGAAATATTCATAATTAAATGCATTGCAGAAGACCTTTATGTATACATCTTTTATCTCTAAGCTACAAAAATCTCAACACTTAAAAAATCTTGCCAGCCTCCTCTTTGTCAAATGTAGCTGAATAGGCAGATCTTTGTAAGGAAAGAAAACAGAAAAACACTATTCAGTTTGCATGAACAACTGATGGCTATGAGTTTCTCTCTTTCCTACATAATTCAATTAATACAAATTGGTTCACAATTATAGGGCTGTATGGGGATGATCAAGAATTTCCTTTTATTTAATCTGAAAAGGCTTGGATTGAAAATCCCAGCGGGGGCAGCCACTGGTACCCATATAAAGGGCCACTTATATATCATACTAGACAGCTGGCAAAATCTTGTTATTCCCTAACTCCCAGGAAGAAACCTAATGTCTTGCAGAGCACCATGCAGAACCATTTGGCCTTCCTACTTACGGTTCATCCACTGACTCCTCAACAATCAGCTCTTTCCTTTATCTATCTTGCTTTCCACACACAATTATTATGTCGAAGGAAATGAAAGTATTTAATTGTGGTACCTAGCAGGTCAGTGAAACCATCAGAAAGATTAACTTAAATGATCTTATGTGCTATTTCTGCATACCCCCCCCCCTTCTGTTGGTGTGGAGTAAATTATTGTCTCGAGAGCCATTTTACTCATTATTGCTTTTTCTCTGCAAGAGATGCAGCCATTTCTTCTCTGTTTTGTTTGTTGGTACATTCAATTCCATTTCATGAATGGCTACACCACAAACCTGTGTACCAGCGAGTATAAGATCTGACTATTTCCTTGTGTTCAAACACTGATTGGGGAGAAGAGGATACCTGCATGAAAGAAAACTGCACTTTGAGAATGGGGTAGTAGTTTTCAGATGGGCTCTTTCTATACAAATCAGAAAACTGTTCTAAATAAGTCCATGGTAAAATACAGATACTTAATATTGTACTTTCAGCAGAGATGCTGCTGCCCCTTGTTTATTTTACAGACTTCAACAACAACAAAAGAAAAGAAAGGAAAAAAAAAAAACATAAAAGAAAAAGGTTAAATGGCTGGTGTCCTCTAGGGCATAATGACAAATTGTGGTACAACATTAAAATGCCACCATCATTATTGCAAAAGTCTGCTCAAGCGACCCTTCAGCTCCGACAGCGGGACCTCTCCAGCAAAATCTTCTTGCCTACTCATACGCAGCTTGTCTGTAGCACAGCTTGGGCATAATGCTGACACCGGCCAGATGGTATTCAAAACAAGGGGAAAAGATGGGATAATAAAGGTCTAGAGGTCTTGCTCTCATCATCATCATCATCATCATCGGTTTGTCGTATCTAATTCTCCAATCAGCAGTGATTTTTCAGGAACAAAATGTCCGACAGCTGAGAAAACATACAAGCTATAAACATTTTTCGTCAAAGGACGCAGCATGAAAAATAATGCCCATTCCTGTAGCATTTTGGCTGCTATTTCCCAGGTGATTGTGATGACCCTTTCAGGGGGTAGCCATGCTGAGGGGCAGACAGGGTTTACTTCAGATGGCAAGGAGAAGAGTGGCACTTCTTTTCCTGCTTTTTTTGTTTTTGTAATTTCTGTTATTATTTTTTCTTACGGACATCAGGGAAAGCCCTGCCTGTTAACACTGTAGAGGGAGATTCAGCCCTGCTGAATTCACTCCGGGTAGTTAAGAGACCCAGCTCTTAAACTCGGCTGGAACAGGTAGCGTTTCTCAAACCAGCATGTGCCTGCGGCGGTGGAGCGCCAAGTGATCTGAGCGGGAAAAGCTGCGGTCACAGTCTGCACACTTGAATGGCTTCACTCCCGTGTGCTTGCGGTAATGCCTCGTCAGTTCGTCGGAGCGAGCAAACTTCCAGGTGCAGCCTTCCCAGGTACATTTGTAGGGTTTTTCTCCTGGGAGAGACAAAAGAAAGAGGGAAGGGGGGGAAAAACAGGTGGTGACTTTCCCCTTGTTGCTCTTAATCCCCGCAACCCTCTCTGCACGCTTCCCATGAACACCCACTGCCTAGGGGTTGCTTTAGGCCAAATTATACAATTACGAGGTAGCGAATCTGCTGAATATAAGGAAAGGGCCTTGAGATTTATCATTCCTGTGGCATTCACATGACTAAGAAAATCAACAGGATTAAGGCAACAATAGAGAACCTACCTTGCAGGGGTGATGCTGGGATTAACGTCAGGACAAAGGGCTGTGTAATTATTCTCATGATTACCATACAAGTTTGCTACCCTCATCTCGTCAGGCTACACTTTCTCCCAAAATGGCCAGATTACCCAATATTTCAGCAATTTATCAGGCTGCCACAGACTTTTGATTATGAAGTTTATGAAGGTTTCTACTTATTTGTGTAAACAACACTGCAGGACATTTCCTAGCAAGCTGGTAAAAATGAACTATGATTTCCCAATTCAACATAAAAATTAATCTGCAAAACATCCTCTTTATTATTGTACTTACTTTCAGTAAAATTAATTTTGCATGTAAGATGTTACCAGGAACGGTGTACAATTTTTAAATGTACCTCAGCCACGGGACTTGCACAACGCTGTTAATAAATACCTATTTACTTCAATGAGATCAGACTTGGGCTAAGTGTAGATTTTTGGAAAATCCTACTCTCTGCTTTTTATTTAAAGGTAAGCATGATTCATGCCCCACGTTCTGTGTCGTATCAAGTCAGAGAAGGAGATCCAGCAAATCTGGATTTTGTGCTTTCATAACGTAAACTGTTATAAAATCCCATTTTTGCCATGTTTGTAGGCTATACTTGTGATTTCTATCACCAGCCCTCGATGTCTACATGTTAAATGCTCTTGGCAGTTACCTTTGATCCCACAGTCGAGCATGCACCAAAACTGAGGCAGGGAAACTGTGTGAGGTCCGTATGTATCTTTCTTTGGTGTGTCAAAAATGATTTTTTACCTCCCCTTCTGAATCCAGCTAATCACAACCAGGACAACAAAAGAGCATCTCTGCAACAACTGATTTCGCCAGGCACAATCATTCCTCAGTTATTTATTATCTGTTAGGAATCACGAGCAGCTTGCAAGAAACTATTTCAATTACATGAACCAGTGACGCAACACTTGCTTTGTCGTAGGCAGCACCTCCCTCCATGTGTCTCTTCAAAAGACAATAAATGCTTTGCTGAGAGCCTTTGGTTTCAAAAGAAAATTCCCGAGTAAGAATATCATCACAAAGTTCAAACAGCCCTGAAGAGTCCAGCTGAAATGGTCATGGGTGCCTCTGTAAGGAAATCGGATGCTGTACAGGCATGTCAGCAGGGTTGTCAGCAACATTTGAGCTCCTTGGGTTGGTACCTTCTGTGCACCATCTGGGCTGTGCTGCAGTTTTGATGTCAGACGGGGGTGGGAAACAGTTGCTGTGAGGAGAACCCAGCAATCCAGGCTCTGAGGTGACCACAGCCCATAGCTGCACCAGCAGCAACTTAGCCTAGATAATTTTACAGTCCTCAGCCAAGCACAAAGCACCGAACAGAGTTCATTGCCCCTGGCCAGCCGCAGCGTTGGGCACCTGGAATTCGGCAGCTGCTGCGAACTGGCGGGGCGCAAGCTACACGACAGATGGCAGGTTGCACGCTCTTGCCAATGACAAAGTGCTACAAAACGTGTTCAGATTCACCACTGAACTGTCTTACATACATATCCCTGCCACAAACAGTTGGTGCAGAGCACCGGACAAATATAGCAGTCTCCCCATTTGACTTGGCAGGTCTATCCTGGCGGTCTCGTCACCGCATCAACAGTTTCCAAGTGGAGCGCTTGTCCTGTTCATCTTCAACATACTTTAAAACTCTCATTTTGTTTAGACTCTGGATACTGCCCCAGTTGGTTTCTTTGACCGCAAAGACTTCCAGAGCAAAACAAGCTTCCTAAGCTTTGGATCCTTATTTAAAAGCATCTGAAATTCTAAGTCTCTCCCTGCCCTGAGATCCTTCCCCTGCAATGGCCTCTTTGGTACACAAATCCCAGCTCTTCTTTCCCTTGGCAGAAGACAAATGGACAATTCGATGCAGGGAGGGATGGTTGGTGAAAGAGAAATACCAGAAATAGTTTGTTTGTCCATTAAAACACTATCACTTCGGGTAAGAAATGAAAGTCAGCTGATGGAAGGACGTGAGCAGGGGTCACTTGGCTGGAGTTCCCAGTGTTGCTTCCAGCTTCCATCCTCAATGAGTCCTGTTTACCCAGCCCCTATAGAGCTATGTGAAAGAGACAGGACTAACCACATTCCTCTCAAGCTATTTACACCACTGAAGGAAAATCGCTCTTACAAGCTCAACCTAAGAAGACCTTTCATTATTTTCAATGTGTATAGCATAAGAAGGAAAAAAAACAGGCAAAGCAGCATTACTCTAAAGACATTTACCCACATGCACCTTAAAAAAGCCACATAAAACTGTGGAAGATACTATTTTTCATTAAGATTAATCAACAACATTTTACACAAACCTAATTTTTAGGGGAAGAATAATAACATTACTCTTCTGTTAAACACCCACATTATCTGTGGATGAACAGGTGGTAGAAAAAGAATGTTCTTCTTCCTAGGCAATACTATACTGTTTGGTAACTTCCCAGACATGAAAAGTGACCACTGAGTTCACAGTAAAAACTGGAAGAGCCAGGAGTTCAAAGGGCGGACAAAGGACCAGCAGGAGCGGAATTGCTAGACAATGGGAAGCTGGTGTCAGATACCACACACCAGCTTTCGCTGATGAGCTTGGGCACTCACAGCTGAAATTATTAGTACAATCAACAGAGAGAAGCAGGACCTCAGCAGGGCAACCCAGAAAGTGGAGAGAGAGGAGGTGGACAAAACTAGATTGTTAATTAGAAGAAACTAGTCCCAGTGCTTATGCATATATATATATTGCCATTTCACAACTGGATTGCAGTGGAGTTGAAGTCAAATACTCAACCATTTTGACTCATTCACTTCTGCCTCTCTGCGAGCACTTGAGCTTAAGTGTCTAAGAAACTCTCGGGTTCAAAGTGTGGGCACGTTTTGGCTCGCTTGATGGCTCAGCAGCTGCCAGAATGTGGCCCACAGAGTTACTGTCATGCACCCAGACAGTCAAATTCTCATTCAGCTCTAAGGAGCAAAAGCAGGCGGTGTAAGTCTTGCCCAGGGTAGTGGACACATGGGAATGAAGGAGAAGACAGAACCGTGGACAGCTTTTGGAAAATGGTAGTAAGAGAGATGCAGAAAGAGACTAAGAACTCTGCGGCAATTAACACGAAGAGCAAAAGAAAACTGGAAAAAGATAAAACCCTCTTAGTCAGTCCAATCTTCTGAATCTGTAGGTTTTAGATGTATAGAAGCTACCCATTTAAAAATAAATGCCTGAAGCTGCGAACATTTTCATGGGAGTTGACCCTCTACTTTTGCACCTGTCTTTGAGAGCTCTACTGTTTTGTCCCAAAACCTGACAAAAAGATCCCAAAACACAGAGAAATTGTATTCTGATGCTATTCCGCAGCTCTGTCTTGTAATACATGGATAGTGAACAGTATGCCATGACAGGCATTTACACAGATCAAGAGGGTCCCTGGAGCATGAAAAAGTCCTTCTAGGCAGTTCCCTGTAAAAAATGAGTATTTTCTATTGTTTGGGGAAGTTAATTATGAAGTTTTAAAGGTATGACTCAATGCCCTAAATGGAACTAGTAATTTTTTTAATCTTCTGTTAACAAAACAACTATTTCTAAGAGCCCTCCAAACCCTTGACTTTTGTAGTCCAGATGCCACAATCCAAATTAGTTTAATTACTTTTACCATATTATTTTTCCTACCCTACCATGACTCCTCTCACTTAAGCACTTAAGCACATAGTTACAATGGTTACTCATTAAATCTCCCTAAACTCAAGCAAATAATGAATTAATAATGCTGAATAATGACCACTGTTCAGCCAATCCTTCCAAAACTTTCCACCCTCTCCACAGCCCAACATCTGTCTTCCCATATCCTTATTCATCTAATCTAACATCCAGAAGATCATTCACCCACGGAAATAAATCTCTCCCAAACTTTTACTTTATAACCCAATGACATTCACATATTCCTTAAAAAATACCCTATGTGGGTACCCACAGGAGACCATGCCATGTAATAGATGAAGGGACCAGGGTTTGTTCTACCCCAGGCAGAATTTCCCATGCGGTACGTTCCTCAGCAGTTATCCTCTGCCCATCAGCTAACTGGTATCATGGTATTTGATGCCAGATGCTTCAAAGACAGGCACTGCAAAATGCTATGTAAACAGTTAAGGGTTATTCTGCCAGCAGGGAAACTACTCTGGAGCTCCAGGAAACAGAGCTGGGCTTACGTTCCCTAGGCAAGGAACTTTATTTACTGCAATTGCAGATGCCCTATGTACTCCCTGCACACTTGCTGTTCCTCTCATTTGTGTATTATTTAAGCTTCATTTATTCAACAGTTTAACAGGCTCTTGGCAACCATGTCATTAAGTAACAATGAGGTAACACTGTCTACTACCAGCACAGAAAATATCCCAGTGATCAAATTCTAAACCAATTTCTTTCTCTGGCAAAACCCCACCTCTCTCTCTGATACTACAGATGAGTGTCATGTCCCTTCTTGTTTGCGTCCTCTTCAGTCATTCCCATCTATCCAATTTTTCTGCACATGGAATTCTCACCATGACTCTGAGTTATTACATCACTTCTCTGTAGTCCCTTCCTGCAACATTTTTATTCCAAATAAGAGTCAACTAGAAGATACACATAAGGGACTGTTCAAGGATACGGGCTTAGCCACCTAGTCAGATTTTTCCGTATTTAAGCTTTGATCATGCTGTGAGAGAGTCACAAGCTGAAATTCCACTTTTGAGAAGGACAAAGATAGAA